GCGCATGAACAAACATGTGGGGATTGTCTTAGGTAGTGGGAGGTACTGGGTGGAAGGGGACAAAAAGGGAAAATTGGGACATCTATAATAGTATAATCAACAAAATAATTTTTAAAAAATCAAAGAAATCCAATTTTTAAAAATATGTAGGAAAATAACTAAAAAAAAAAAAAAAAAAAAAAAAAAAAAAGGGGCTTAAACACAACTTTCCCCTAACCCCTTTTTGAAGGAAGGGAATGCTCTTTTAAACCTTTTCGTTTTGCCCTAGCTGGCGTGGCTCAGTGGATTGAGCGCTGGCTTGCAAACCAAAGGGTCCCTGGTTTGATTCCCAGTGTTGGGCACATGCCTGGGCTGCAGGGCAGGTCCCCAGCAGGGGGCACGTGAGACGCAACCACACATCGATATTTCTCTACCTCTTTCTCCCTCCCTTCCTCTCTAAAAATAAAGAAAATCTTTTTTTTTTCCTTTTTAAAAAACCTTTTTGTTTTACTATGAACATATGTTCATAGAATAGGAATTCACATGTGCCCTGGCTACATGGCTCAGTGGATTGAGTGCCAGCCTGCAAACCGCAAGGCCGCCAGTTCAATTCCCCAGGCAGACACATGCCTGGGTTGCAGGCCTGGTCCCCCATTGGGTTGAGGGCCTGCAAAAGGCAACCAATTGATGTTTCTTTCCAGTATCAATGTTTCTCTCCCTCTTTCTCCCTCCCTTCTCTCTCTAAAATAAAATTTTTGGAAGTTTTTTTTTTTAAAAAAAGGAATCCACATGCAATATAAAGGAAAAACTAAGAATCCCCTACTTAACCCATTTCCTAGAGAATTACTGTTAATGGTTCCTGGTGTTTTCTACAAGAAAATCAATACTTTAAATAAAGAGGGCTTGTCTGGCATGGGGCCTAATGTAGTCTTTTGGGGTGTACAGGTGGTTCATGCCATGACCATTCATCAAGCAGTATACTTTTCTCTATGTATATTTCAATGAAAGGTTAAAAATGGAAGGCCAGGGTAAAAGGAAAGTACTGGTACTCTGAAAGTATAAAGAGCAGCAAATATCTAATCAGGGAGACCTTCTGAATAGTTTATAACTGGAGTCAGAAGGAGCCATCTTCTAAAAAGAAACAAATTTGAAAAAGGTATCCAGCATTACTCCCATGAACTACTGAAATGCTGGAAATATTGTTGCATTAACACATTTCAGATAAGAATTCTCTTTAGTACCTAAGGGACAACAACCCACAGCCTATTTTGTAAACTGAAATTGCTTTCTTCTGTTTTCAAGATGGGCCCAAATATCAATACTTTGCTGCCCAAATAGACACTATTTCAGTAATGCAGCTTAACAGGGGAATTCCCCCCACCCCCACAAAATTTGATTTAAAAAAATAACTATCCAACAAGAGAACGGAAAGAAATTTCTTTTCTTAATATGGTCTGTTAAAAATGACAAAATACTTTTCTTTGCTCTTCTTGTGGAAGTCTTTCTCAAATATTCGATTAAGAACGATCTGGGTCTCTTTCTACAACCTCCTCTTTCCTTCTTTACATCTGTGAAACTGTGTTTGTAATGTTGCTTTCTGGCATCAATACAAAAAATGCCAAGCCATTCCATGAGTATGGGATTTAAAAGTTGGCACTAAGACTGCTTATAATTTGAAGACACATTTAAAAACTTAAAAGTTTTCACACTCATAGATGGTTCTTGCCATCATTATTCAGTGTTTGGCTCCTCCCTTCCATGTGGGCCCTAAACAGGAAGCAGGTTTCACATGAAGAGATGGAGAGCCTCAGAGGCTAACCAGGGACTAGAGACTGACTCTCACTTGCTGTTAATCCCTATCCACCTGACCATCTCAGCATAGAGCTGTGGCCACCTTGGGGTGACTGCCATGTACCCGCCAGCCTCCACAGCCGGGTTACTCATCAAGCACTAGTTCAATTGCTGAAATGAACCCCAAACCACTTCCTGTAGAAAGCCCTGGCTCCCTGTTTAGATCCCCTTCCTATGACCTCACAAGCACTGAACAAACGCCTCAAGGTTCAGAATAGAATATGAACCCTACTATATACACACTGGATTTTCAAACACATAGGTCTCTTCAATGAGCAATGTTAGATACCAGGTCTCCAGTAACTCTGAGCTGGCCTGCCAACCCATTCCTATCAGAGGTCATACTAAAAGGAATGATATATAGGGAAGGAAGCTTGATCCCGGAGTTATCATGGGTACTTACAAATATTTGCTAAAGCAAATTCAGCACTTGAACTTAGCCAGAAAAAGACCCAGGAATTCCTGCATCATTTTGCAGGTCAGCATTTTACTTGAAAGCACTGCACATGGACACAAGCAGGCAGGACCAGCTTCAATGCATAGTCTATACATCAAGCTTGTTTTCTACAAACAAGAACTGAAATGGAAAAACCATGAGGGTTTTGTGGATTCTTTCCAGAAAGAGATGTTGAAAGGAGTAAATGGAGATAAGATGTAGAGACACAGGAGCCACAATTTAAGGGAAGACACTGCCTCTAAGCAGTCAGCTTTCTATTCAGGTAGAAGAGCTGTCACTAACAAAGTGAGACCTTTGGGCTACTTCAGCAGGCTGAAGACATGCACTGCTCCGAACCTAGAGCTCTAAAGAGTCCTCTACATTGTGCTGCCTGTGGCTCTTGCAATAAGAGAATGTCACGTCCACGTGGTCTAAACACATCTCAGGCTTTGAGACATCAAAATGCTGCTTTGTTGCTAACAGGTACACTGAGGCTTGGATGCAGGGCAGAGCACCCAGACAGCGGCACCCTTCTCAGTTCAGGTGTATCTTTAATCTCTCCAATCTCCTACCATCCAGGAATTTCCTTCCATTGAGGGCAGAGTATGCTGTTACTTAGCAACTTCAACAAGTCATATCCCAAATCTGGAATAGGTATGGTTAAAATAAACAGTGACAAAATCACTGCAAGTTACAACTGGGAGAGGCCAAAGATAGGAAACACACAGACCTTTTAAAAAGTCTATATTTTTTATTCTGGCCTGTTAATACCACTCCATGCCCTGGTTTTGTTTCTTTTAAGTTTTAACTTTTCATAGAAAACCAGCATGTCTGCAAGCCCAGTGAGTAGGAACTCTAGCAAACCACGGCCCAATGGAGAAGGGTTCATGAACACTGCATTCTCAAAGGGCCAATTTGCACATTATTCTGATGAGTACAAAATTCTAGAATAGGGGAGATGAAGACCGGTGTGCACTGTCATGACTGATCTGTCCATTTGGAAAGATGACTGAGACTTACTGTATTTTGCTGTGTACAATATGCTCCTGTCCAAAATGCACATCCATGTTTTTGGCCCAAACTTTCAGGAAAAAAATGTTTTGTTTCAATTTTTTAATTTAATGATCTATTTAGTTATATTTAAAAACAAAACCGATTATTGTATTCCAGGGTATTATTTTGCATACATATTATCGTTATTGCTTTCTAGAGTTACACTCTTAACACATAAGCATAAATGAAAAAATTAAAAACATTTATATAGGTAAGGAATTAGTAGTACCCATGTATAATGCGCATTCTTATTTTTCCCTAAAAATTTTGGGCAAAAAAGTGCTAGTTATACAAGGCAAAACACACACACACACACATATATATTTCAGCCACCCTTGAGTTTCTTCTAGTCTTTAATCTCATCTTCTCTAATTGAGCTTAAAATGACTCAGGTAATTGGGGGGGGGGGGTGTTAGAGGAAGGGGGAGGAAGAGGGGGGGAGAGAGAGAATGAAGGTGAATGAATGAACTTGTTTTTGTTTTCAGTTCCTTTCAATGCAATGATGCTCAAGACTCCCCTTCTTCCCTGGTACTATTGGCCATAAAACCTCTATCACTTATCTCTATTTCACAAAGCACTAGAAGGATTTCAATATTTCTGTAGATGACCTGGAGCAACTGTCCCATTTTCAGTCACTTAAGCATTAACTAAGGGTTTTCTGTCTTTAGTTCTCTGGTAAAATATCTACAAGCAGCAATGTTCTCTCCAGTTCTGACACTACGATAAACCACCACTCCAGGTACTACAAGAACTACTGTATGGGGCTGTTATCCTTTCTTTCAGGACAAATGAGTAACAAAATCATATGGCTCAAGAACTTGGCAGAATGAAAACAGATCGACGAAGCAGCCAATGTCCACGTTTACTGTAGAGTAACTCCTTCCCTCATCTCAGATCCTGGGCTCTGTCACCCGCTGGGTGACACAGACATCTGCTGCTAGTGACCCAGAGAAGGCCCACAGCGTCCCTCAACATTTTCCCAGTGGGACGAACCACAGAAGCTGTAGATACCCTCTGCTTCTTAGGAAGTGCCCAATTCGGCGAAAGAGGTCAGAGTAGGGTGTGCATGTGAACTAGCAGAAAAATAAGGAATTGATTTGTCTTACTACGAAAAGGTACAGCTGATGAAGACGCGGAAACGACCAAGACAGAGCCCCAGGCTTTCAGGAGTTCACAGAAGAGCAAACAAGCCGGCAAAACAACTACAAACTGTGCAACAGGTACCAAAGTCAACAGAGGCGGCGGCAAGTCGTTCAACTGTGAAAAGGTCAGGCACTTCATCTTGAGTGAGACCCAGGGGTAACAAGGGGCAGGCTGCACTCTGGTTCCAGATACCCCCAACACGCGTCCTGGGGCCCGGCACCGAGGCGCCCTAGGCGAAAGGCCGGTTCCCCTCTAACGCTGGGAACCGCGCCCCTGGGGACCCCTGGGGTTTGGGGCGCTGCCCCTCCTCACCCTTACCGCGCTCGCGGTCCGTGGTGGCCTCGAAACCCCGCGGCGAGATCTGGGCACCGAGTTGTGTGAGCCGCCACCGGCCTCCTTCCACCGGCCCTGTTGTCCCGCACCCTACCGGGGTCCCCTGCGCCAACGCCCGCCCCAACCCGACCTGCTCCTCCTCCCTATTCACGATCACCCACCTAGAGCCGGGCCCGCGCCTCCACCACAAGCCCGGGGATCTTACCTCAGTCGCGAGCCAGCGGCACCGCACGGCGCCGTAGGGCTCAACGCATCCTGGGGTCGCAGGTAACCGGAAGTGAGGCCGAAAGACGCCGGTAACGAGTTATGTAATCAGCAGGGGCCGCAGCCGCTACAGAGGCGGCTGTCCTCGGCACTTCCGCCCCTTGCGCTCGGTCGACAGCCCATTGGTCACTGGGGCTCACGTAGGTCACCACCTCCCCGAGGTCGACGCCGCCATCTTAGGAGCGGGCAGGCCTTTCCTTAGCCCGGCTGCAGCGAAGCTGGGACGCTCGTTGGGGATGGTCTGCAGGGAGGGGTGAGGCTTTGAGAGCCGTCGGGGGCGCTCAGGAGAGGCGGGTCGGAGTTTGAGTGCCGTAAGCGCAGACTGAGAGATTGCTCACAGCCCTCCAGTTCTCGGCTCACTTTTCCCTTGTTTGGGCCTGTGCTTGTCCACCACAGCCTGTGCATACTGTTGAACCAGGGAATCGTGATTGAATGACTCACCCGGCTGGCGGGCGGCACCACCCTTCCTAGCGCCGGACTCAGGCCAACGGCCAGAGGTCCGTCTCCGCAGAAAGGCAGTTTAGGCTGTTACTGTGTAAATGGGCAGAGGTCAGTTGCCCTCAAATTGCAGGAGGGTCCATATCACAAGATCCAGGGTATCGTGTTGAGCAAAATCTGATGTTAACTTTAAAGTAGGAATATATTCTTTGCCTCCCAATAACTCAATGGTCCACATAGCCAAAGAATGGAATAAAAAGGGCCTGCTCACAGCCAAGGGCTACAATGATCAATCCTTCGAGGATTTAATTCATATTCAAGAGAATAAATGTTATCACAGATTAAAAGTCTAAATAAGTATGTTAAAAATATTAAAACCGCATTCTTTTAACATTTTGACAAGGAAATGGTACCTAAAAAGATTAAAAGTTTTAAAGGTAACTGGTGTAAAGTGATCAAGAATAGTATAACGAGGCAATAGAAAACAACAAGGAATAGATCATCTACTATTGTATACATATGTGTAGTAGCTGGTGGAATCCTGATTTATGTAAAGTAACCTATATTTATATTTCCTTTTTTGTAGCTGTTTCTGTAAGTTCCTATCTTTTGTAAAAGGCTAAAAAAAATCACTTGGACACAAAACTAATACTATTTACAACTGTAGAGTTACAGGTTTAAATACTACAAACATACTACTGTAAGCAAAAACGCCATGGTATACCATGTTTAGGCCCATTCAGAACACTTGGAGCACTCTCCATAATTATAATGTGTCATTAAATTATTTATTAATAAACTTGTTGCAAAAAATTAAGAGTAATTAGGTCCACACAATACAGCAAGATAAAGGACAGTAGGACCCTTAAGAGTGAGGAGAGTATGTAAAATGCAGACTTTGAAGCCCTGTATACTTTCTAGAGATGGGCTGCAAATTTAGATCCAATCTTTCCAGAATCCACTTTGAAGAGAGTTAGTGTGTCAGAAGAGGCTAATTGTCCACTAGCGTCCATTGTCCCATCCCTCCTCCCTCTCTCCTCTTTCCTCATCTCCCTGCCCCTCCCAAAAAATAATTACTGTATTATATCTTCTTGTAGTAATAAACCCTTATCCTCTATAGCAGGTAAATATCTGTCAAGCTAGGTTTATATTCTTTTTAAAAACTTTTTTAGTATATTTTATTGATTATGCTATTACAGATATCCCATTTTTTCCCTCCCCTTTATTTCCCTCCACCCTGCACCCTGCCTCTTATAACGGTGCAGCTAGGCTCCCTCAAAGGGAATTTGTAAAGGGGTCCAGAAATAGGGGTGTCCAAGAAAAATATACGATATTCTCACTCCCCCAGGTGGGCTGCCGTGGGAGGTGGGAGATGTGGAGCAGGGCCATTGAGAGTCACTTTGCCTGTCAATAACAGGAGGATAACTTAATTCCTCACATGCAAAAATGGTTATTTTGCATATAAACAAGGCTAACCTGGAAAGTTTGCATAAGTTTAACCCAGGCGGTAACTGGGCAAGCAGCTCCCCCCACCTGTTGCAGAACTTGCTGAAGGAGTGGGAGATAGGGTTGTGGGGGAGGATTCCTGCCAGGGTTGGGACCCAGGCGCGGCAGTTATGCTAGAGGCTTTTGACCACACAGTATGGGGAAGCAGGAAAGCAAGATGTAGCAGCCATGCTGGCAGCTCCCTGCCCCTTCTCCTCCTTACAGCCCGCATGCCTGAGAGCTCAGAGATGGTTCGCTCCATTCCATGGGGGAACAATGTGAAGACCATGCAGGAAGGAAAGGAGGGAAAAGGCTCTTGCTAGTGGGCCATGAGAAGGTGCCATGTGGGTTTGGCTTAAGAACTGGAAATCGTGGCGACACAGCTGATGGTGCTGGGAACCTCAAGAGGCCTGCCTAGCTGAGCTCTGGACTTCCGTTTTTGTCTGAAGGACAATTTGCTGATACGTAATTCTTTACATGTGTCAGCAAGAATGTAACAGGGCACAGCCATGGTCCCCCAAAGGGTATCTGTAACTGGGTCCAGAAATTGGAGTGTCCAAAAAAAATATAAGATATTCTCCCCGCCCCAAGATGGACTGCCCTGCAGGATGGAAGACCTGGAGCAAGGCCATTGAGAGTTATTTTGTGTATCAGTAACTGGCCAGCATCCCACCTGAAGTGCAGCAGTGCCATTGAGAGTCATTTTGCATGTCAATAACAGGACAGCTTCAGACCTCATATGCAAAGATGGTTATTTTGCATCTCAACAGGGCTAACCAACAAGGTTTGAAAGACTTAGTACAGAATGTAACAGAGAGGAGAGATAGGACCTGCGGGAGATACAGAGGGACACAGACTTTGCGGAACAATGAGAAGGCCACGCAGGAAGAAAAGCGGGGAAGGACTCTTGCTAGTGGGCCATGAGAAAGTGCCACATGGTTTTGGATTAAGAACTGGAGATCGTGGGGACACAGCAGATGGTGCTGAGAACCATGAGAGGCCTCCCTAGCCGAGCCCCAGACTTCTGTTCTTTTTCTTCTGAAGGACGGTACCCCTGACTGGCCTAACTGGGCAACGGGGGGAAGGCAGGACTCTGTGAGTTGGTGGGTGTCTTAAGTGGTGGGTGTTTTGAAGGGATTTTGTGATTTAAGGGTGAAATTTAGCCATTAATCAAACCTGTATAACTTTTGAATAAATAATTCCTTTTTCACCAAACTCTGCCATTGAGAGCCATAATTCCAAGGACGGCGGGCAAAGGACCTATAACCGAGGGACCCTGGGGAATGGGGGATGTTTTGGTAATAGCATCTGAGCACCCCCGCCATGGGTCCATTGTCCAGTAATAAGAAGAACCGGGTCTCTCCCATCAACACTCCCACCAGCATTCCCCCCACCCCTTAGTTCATGTCCGTAGGTTGTACATATAAGTTCTTTGGCTTCTCCGTTTTCTGTACTATTCTTAACCTCCCCCTATTTTGTACCTACCATTTATGCTTTTTATTCCCTATACCTTTTCCCTCATTCTCCCTCCTCCCCCTTCCCGCTGATAACCCTCCATGTGATCTCCCGTTTCTGTGATTCTGTTCCTGTTCTAGTTGTTTGCTTAGTTTGTTTTTCTTTTAGGTTCAGTTGTTGATAGTTGTGAGTTTGTTGTCATTTTACTGTTCATAGTTTTGATCTTCTTTTTCTTAGATAAGCCCCTTTAACATTTCATACAATATGGGCTTGGTGATGAAGAACTCCTTTAACTTGACCTTATCTGGGAAGCACTTTATCTGCCCTTCCATTCTAAATGAGAGCTGTGCTGGATGGAGTAATCTTGGATGTAGGTCCTTGCCTTTCATGACTTTGAGTACTTCTTGCCAGCCCCCTTCTCACCTGTAAGGTTTCTTTTGAGAAATCAGCTAAGAGTCTTATGGGAACTCCTTTGTTGGTAACTGTCTCCTTTTCTCTTGCTGCTTTTAAGATTCTCTCCTTATCTTTGATCTTGGGTAATGTAATTATGACGTGTCTCAGTGTGTGCTTCCTTGGGCCCAACTACTTTGGGACTCTCTGAGCTTCCTGGACTTCCTGGAAGTCTATTCGCCAGATTGGGGAATTTCTCCTTCATTATTTTTTTAAAGAAGTTTTCAATTTTTTGCTCTTCCTCTTCTTCTGACACCATCATGATTCAGATGTTGGAATGTTTAAAGTTGTCCCAGCGATTCCTAAGCCTCTCCTCACTTTTTTAAATTCTTATTTATTCATTCTGTTCTGGTTGAAGGTTTTTTCTTCCTTCTGCTCTAAATCGTTGATTTGAGTCCCAGTTTCCTTCCCTTTACTGTTCGTTCCCTGTAAATTTTATTTCACTTTACATAGCCTTCACTTTTTTCCTTTATTTTGTGACCCTACTCAACCATTTCTGTGAGCATCTGATTACCAGTGTTTTGAACTGTGCATCTGATGGGTTGGCTATCTCTTCATTGCTTAGTTGTATTTTTTCTGGAGCTTTGATCTGTTCTTTCATTGGGCTGTATTTCTTTGTTTTAGCACTCCTCTATTATGTTGTAAGGGGCGGGGCCTTAGGTATTCACCAGGGTGGGGCAACTCACATGGTTGTATTCTGGCACTGTATGTTGGGGAGGGGGTCAGAGAGAAAACAATGCCTTTTGCTCAGCTACTGGCTGGCTTTCAGTCATTTCCTCTGCTACCCACAAGCAAGTTGGGCCCCGATAGTGCTGATTTACGGGTGGGTGGGTTTGTGTATTTTCTAGGACCCTGTGGGTCTTTCCAACAAACACTCCTGTGAGGCTGGGAGTTTGTCCCACCACTGCAACTCACACAGGTTATTACAGCCCCAGGTTTTGAGGCTTTCTTTTTCCCTGACTGGAACCCTGGGTTGCACAGTCTGTATTGCTCCCCAGCTGTTTCTCCTGGTTTATCCACATGCAGATATGGGACCGCCCCATCCTCCAGCTGCCATCTTGCCATGCGTCCTCTCTCCTACCAGTCTGGATGAATGTTTCTTCTTTAACACTTGGGTTGTTGGGCTTCCATACGGTTCCATTTTTTTTTTTTTTTTGGCAGTTTTGATTGTGTTTTGTTTTTAAATTTGTTGTCCTCCTTTTGGTTGTATGAAGAGGCAAAGCATATCTACCTACACCTCCATATCTTGG